AGAGTGGGTGAGAATGAGACAGAGAGAGAGAGAGAGAGAGAGAGAGAAAGTCTTGTACAACCCCATGAGTAATGACTTGAATAACAAACCCAAACATCCAGCTCTGTGTACATAGGTCTGACAAAGATGACATATTATGAGGGTATTTCTTGAGCTCACACCTTAGCTGTGGATGATTGGTTTGAAAAGATATTGTAAATCTTTACGCACCAGGTAGGTTTCACCCTGATGTATAAAACACTGTCTAACTGACCAGCTGCCATGTGTTAAGAGCTGGTGACATTAGTGTTAAACAGAGAAAGTCTATACATGAACTGAAATTGACCTAATGAGACCCAGATGGAAAGCATAACACACAAGTTGTCTGGGGTTGAAGTCCATGTTGTATCTGCTGGTCTGTTTACTCTGTTTCCAGCTTTGCATCCACCCTGAGCTACTTATTTATGATTCTGTATGACGTCCAACACCTCCTGGACTGACTGCATGTATAGATGATCTGAAGCACAGACAGCCGAATACCTTATCACTGGTGCTGTGTGTGCAGAGATGTTAATGTATGTGTGTGAATACATTTCATTGTGTGTAAGTGTATGTACAGGTGTGCACGTATGGAAGTGTGTATATTACTTGGAAGCTCTTTAGCAGGAATGATAATGGACCCATTTCCTCCTGCTAATAACCCCCTTTCTACAGACTTCTGCTTAAGAAATCTCGGCATGGGAATAAATGAGCAAAGCTATTATATGGGGGGGTAATCATAACAAAGGAGGGTGGAATAACCCCCCCAGTGGTTGTGATTCTTGTCATGTTTGTCTTAATAATTCCTAATTGTGTAAAATGATACTGCTTTAATTGGGGTCCAATTATAAGTACACAATTTCAGATCCCTTAGCGGCAAAGTATCCCTTCACAAAGCCTGAATCCTTTGAAGTAAATAGATATTTCACGCAATTACCGCATGATTTATGAGCACAGCGAGAAGAAAAATAGGCCTTGGCTTTATGTTTTACCTGAAACTCCAGCATTGTCTTTCCTACGTAGGAGCGGAGCAGCACACTGTAGGTTCCTATGCTGGTGCTTGAATCACAAGCATCTTCTACAGAGACCTTTACAGAGACAACGGTGCAGGTCAACATTCATGTTGCGACTACATTCTTATAATAAAAGTGAAATACCACACTCACAGCACTGTCTGTGGCCGCTTGCTGCAAACTGTGAGTGATGAACTGAGGGTTGATGCGTCGACATGGCAGCTCGTTCACAAGTGAGTTCATCAGAGCCACACGAGCTGCATCCCTCCGAGCTTCTGCTTGAGTCTCACACACCTGCGGGTGAGGAGATGATGAACATAAAGGATTAAGATGTCAAAAAGAGTGCAAAAAGAAAGTGGAAAAAGATGTGAAACCTTGTCACTTCAAACAGACACTTATGGTTCTGCTGATGTATGTGAGCCTGGGGTTGACTGATTTGAGTGAACAAGTTCGGTCTATCAATGGGCGCCTGCTCTTAGTTAAATTATGATGATTTTACACTTCATTACAGCTAATCATGGGTTCAGACCTCAATTCATCAATGAGATTAGAACATAAGAGGCATTCACAGTTAACCAATCACATGCCTTCTCTGAGCTGGGGGCTGCTGTCTGGGTCACAATGAGCCCATTGAGAGGCATTGTTGTCTTTAATTTAAATAAACCTTAAAAGTGTGTGTGACTGTGTGTTTATCTGCATTAAATGACCTTCAAGTGTTGCTTGTAAGCTCTTACCTCTGACGGGAAAGTTGATGGAAGACAACAAATACTTTTGTTCAGAAAATTAACAGTTTGTGTGAATTAGGGGCTGTTTTATTTTTTTATAATTTAGTTGAGATCTAGTCTGTGTTGCTGCAGCAAAAAGAAGAGAAGCAATTGCAGATTAAACAGTATTATTACTATGTAAGCGTAGTAAATAACACTAATCGTTTCTATAGTATAACAAACTAAGTGATGTGTTTGTTATTACATTTACAACTGATGCTTCCACGCTCTCTGCAATTTCACCATCAAGAGAGAAACATCACCTGCATCATGTATTTAAAAAATGCTAACTTGTAGTTTATTTTTGGTCAAATACGTGTACTTCCAACGTCATGGAGGACAACCTGCCAGGCAGCACAGATGATGATAGACACACCTTATAGTTACCAAAGCAGCTTCCTCCTGGCAGGGTGACATAGCAGACATATGGAGGACCAGGGGACGGTGCAGACTCGTACAGCAGCAAGCTCTCCGTGTGGATGGCTGCGTCCCCAACAGAACCATCTGATTCACTGGAGGAACCATTCAACCGACCTGTCTGCCTCTGCTCCCAGAAGTTATGGAGCATGGCCACTACATTCACTGCACACATATAACAAGGACACATGTCAAAGGGAAGACGGATTAACTTTCATTTGTAAAATGTTTTGATAACTCTTCTGTGTTATCATCCCAAGGTTTCTTTGGTCTCGCTCTGAGTAAACCTGTAAGGATATGTGTAAATGTTAACATAAATATAGAAGCCAGACATCAGCATTCCCAGACAGTGTTTATTGAAGTAGAATTAGTAAGTGGCACCCCATAACTTATACAAATCAGCATTTTGTAATGCTTTGAGCTTATTTTGACCCTGAAAAAAGTTTAAAAGTTTCCTGCGTCCTTCACTTTGTGCCAAACTATTGGCTGCAGCTCAGTCTATGGCAGCAGGGATACGAAGACTGACACTTGGAGGAATACTTTGTAGGAATATAACAAAGTAATGAGAAAACAAGTGGTTACAACAGTCGTAACAATTTGACTCTTTTATCTAAAACAAAAAGATATGTCCATTTCCTGTTGAAACTCCTCAGTTACTCACAGTCTTTGGTGCTGGTGTCAGTCTCACTCTGTGACAGGTATGACATGATGCTCTCCTCCACCTCCACTTCGCTCATCTTTACCCGGTGTTTGCTTCCACAGCGGCCTCAAATACAATCAGTCCACTTTTCTCATCAAAATGATCCATCAAAACAACACACATGACGCTAGAATTGAGCAGCCACGTCCGCCATCACAGCTCAGGATGGGAACACCATGAGGAATAAACTCAAAATCTGAAAGACCCTCTACTCTCCTTTTCTCCCCATCTCCTCCTCCCCTGTGTGAACATCCCACCAGGGTTTCTTTTTTGAAGCGGACCACCTTTGTCACCCTCGCTGCCAATTAGCTCAGGGGGCCCCTCACTCTTTCTACACACACACACACACACACACACACACACACACACACAGAGGTGCAGAGCTGGAATGCTGAGCCCCTCCCCTCGGGCCATGCAGCTGGCTAATCCCTGAACAGAGTCGGTCAGTTAAAGACCTGCACAAAGTTGCCAAGTTAAACCACAGATGGCACAATGTACCACCTTGAGGAACAGGAATAATATTAATTTGTGGAAGGTATATTGCTTGATGCTTCTTTTTATATGAAATACCCTCACTGCCCACCATGTTAGGGACAATTCTACACAACATGAAATGTATAAGATGTGTGGGGGTGGGATACTTTTGACTTCACACACTAATTTGAGACCACGGAGCCCCGGCTCTGAGCTCCATTCACCCACTTCAATATGAATGCCCTTTGTTAAAGTCTGAATTCACCCGCTCTCTGAAAGCCTCTTACATATAAATGAACCAAATTCTGAGAAAGAAGTGGTTTCTTAGCTCCTACGTCCTCTGCTTTCTCTTATTTTACATGTCAGTTGAGTTGTGTCCGCCTCACAGAGCGTTGGAGTATGAGTGCCCATTTCATGCTGAATGTGTTGGTGTGTTTTGGAGCATGTATGTTGCCACATGCTTTTATCAATCTCTACTTTTCTGATTGGATGCTGGGAGGGTGGAGATCTATTCAAACTACAATAATAGTATGGAGATCTTTGAACCCTGGGAGTTGAGAATAAACAAGCTTTTCATGAACTTGCATTCCGTTTGATTCTTAAAGCCACACTCACGTTAGTCACCCAGTCAGCAGTATACCCAAAATAAACTTGATAATACACTTCATTCAGGAACACTGAATAGATTTTTAACCATTTATTGCAAAAAATGGAAATAGTTAAACTTGGCGCTGGCGGCTCCACTCTTAAAATGCTCCTAGGATTTAGCCAAGCAGCTACCAAGCCAAAACAGGGAGCACCATGCATAACCCCCCAGGTAAACAGGAATGAGCCCGAAGTAAACTTTAAATACATTTCAACCATTTGCTTTGCAAAATGAACTCCGATCTAAAAAAGGGTGGAGGCTGGAGTGGAGCAGGGAAAGCTTTGCCAGCAGTATGGTCTGTCACAGCATAGATGTAGAAAGGATCAGTGAGGAGGGAGTCATTTAAATGAACCTCCTTGAGATGAGAGCGGGCTGTGATTGGTGCGTGGCCGATGAGAAGCGATGATTCAATCGTCTGGCTGTCGGCTGGTTACAGCAGGGGGCGTATGACTTCCGTGTCCTGCATGAACTAAAGCTGTGCTTCATTGATGGCAAATGTTAATTAACAGGTTTGTCTTTTGTTTCCATCATGAAGTTGATATGCACAGGTGCATATGATGTCCTGTCAGAAATTGTTTTAAATTTGCTCACTTCTTAAACCATTCTTTTGAATAAACACAGGAAAACACATCAATGGTGATTTGAATGGTTTAATTATGAATTATACAGCTTTATTATAAGGACTCGATATCTAAATTACACTGTACGTTTAACATGGTAGTTAATTACAGTTCAGATATGAAAACAGATTGTCGTCTTTATGTGTGGTGATCTGCTGAATGCACAGTTTTCACTCTTGTGTGTTTCACAAAGCGGTACGGAGCAGTTGAGGTGTTGCAGAGACACTCTTGCTGTGTTGTTGTTGTTTTCAACTCTTCAAGTTCATGTTAACCAGAAAAAAAAACAAGATGTTGACGCAAATTCAGTCTGTCCATCTCTGCAGTTATCCCCAGAAGGAGGCGCCATCCAGACTAGACGTGATGTTCTCTTGGTTCTCTCTTCTGGATTTGGTCACCAAGTTGGCTTCTCCTTTCTGCAGACGTCTCCTCTGTGCAGCCTTCTGCTGTTTGCCGAGCTGCGCCCGCACCTTCTGACGGACTACCTCCTGCAGAACACACAAACATAACGACAGCTGGTTACTACAGATGAATGTACGCACTGTCTGTCTCTGCAATGCAGGCAAAACAGTATGTAGACATTTTGTTTCTGCTTCGAGCCAAACGTCACACCGTGTGAAAGCTCTTCAGCAGCACCTACAGGACATTTCAGCTCTTGTCAAAACTTAAAACTCATTACTAGGATTGCTATGCCTAGTGAAGTGTCCAAACATTCAGGGATCACCTCAGAGTGTTTGTATTGTGTAATGGTACTGTATTAGTGTATGGCGCTCTCACCTTGACCCTGTGTGTGTGTGTGTCTGTGTTTTTCTTACCGGTGGTATTGTGGAGCAGCCCCCTATGCTGCCCATTGTACCCTCACTGTCTGTCCTCATCCTCCGGTGGTCTGCCATGTGGAGACTGTCTGAGTCTCTGCAGGACAAAACACACAAAAAACCCAACTGCTATTATGGAACAACAAAAACCAGTAAATCACTGTTGGGGTATAATTTGCATGTTTTTAAACATCCTTGCTAAATTTGATGCAAATTATGCTATATTTTATAATCTGAAATTTATCGACCAGGAATTCGTATTAACAGACCTAAAATGATTTGGTGGTTCTGTACCACAGTGTGGCATATTCAAACATTATGTCATCTTACATGTTTTTCATGTTGGATTATGATAACGTCCTACTGTGCTTACCTGAAGGGTTTGAACTCTTTGTTGGAGGCAGAAAGTTCTGCCAGCTCTGGACACTCATCCACTGCCTCATTCAACTCTTCCACCAAGTCCTTATCTGGCTCTTCATCACTTCTTGCAGTAGATGTCGTCTCAGTCTCTTTTTGTTCTTCCCCCTTTTCACTCTTGTTCTCTTCATTTTGGACATCTGCATGCGAGTCGCTGACTTTCAGACCTTCCAGTTCCAGCATTGCATGCTTATATTTCTCCATGTCCACACTTTCTTCTTCTTTCTCTACCTCCTCGTCCGCTTCCTCTTCGTCATCATCGTCGTCGTCCTCTCCCTCGGGTCCAGCTGGGTGTAGCAATGCAGCATCTCTCTGCAGATCTTTGGTGAAGCCGCTAGCTGAGACTTCGACATCCAGAGAACAAGAGCGGCTGTAGGGACAAACAGTGACAACAAAAGATCACGTAAGACTTGCTTTCCAAATAACGATAAGATAAAACAATTATCAATGCAAAATGTGATTTTTCTAAACACTTGGAAAAATGTTGAACAATTAAATAAAATCAAGTTGTTTAATAAATAACAGAGCAGACAACATGAGGTTTTTCCATCACACATCTAAAATGAACACCAAGACAACTTTTTTTGTACATCAGGAGTTTTATTGCAACTGAACATAACCATGCGTAGTTACCTGATGTCTTTGAAGGTTGGGAAGAGCTCGCTTTCGTAATTGTATCGTCTGGCAAAGAAATCTCTGATACATTTGACATCTCTGTCAAAATACCTATAATCAAAGTTAGAAAAAGTGAACAACGGATTCATCTTTACATCTGTTTCATAATCTTAGGTGTTCATTCATTTTCAATTGTATAACTCAAGACACCAACCATTCAGCATTAAAATGTGTGGTGGACACCATTTGAGGGAAGTCGATCATAGTTATGTGGTCCTGGTCGTCCAGCATCAGGTTGAACTCGTTAAAGTCTCCATGAATCAGGCCGTGATTGGCCAGTTTGAATATGAGCTCCATGAACTCATTGTACAGGGCTCCTGGATCCTCCAGCTTATGCACCTGAGACCTGAAAGACAACAATACACTCTAAATTACACAAGGAACTGAGAGTAGGAAGTGTGCGCTATTGCCATCACTAAAGCAATATACAAAGCAAGAAAGAAGGATGACTTGTTTACATACAATGGATATCCATTGATGAGCTCCATCACGACAGCATGTCTGTTATAGTCCACAGGTTTAGGAACAGGAAAGCCCCGATCATACAATGCCTGAAACATTAGGAGACATTTTAGTAATTGCTGGTGACATTTTCTTTCTAGTCCACATAACTTTCTCTGATTTGTTCCGTTACCTTCATGTAGGCAAACTCCTTCATGGCAGACAGGCGAGAGAGGTAGAGCCAGGACATGTTCTTCCTGTGTTGGTGGTAATCTCTCTTGTTCTTCAGGTTCCTGAAGGAGGTACGACCTAATCTGTGAAGCTTCAGAGCGTACTGGTCGTCGTTTGGACTCGCCACGATATATATATCTACAGGAAGTGAGCGCAAACAAACATTTCTATGAATTCACATTTTTTATTCACATTTCTATGAATAAGAGAGTTTCTGACATTGTCCAAGCAGCCTGGGAAACTGACATAGAACAGAAGTCATTTACATCAACAACAAGAGAAACGTTGCACAAACTACTGGCTTTTGAAGTATTTTTGAGTATTTCTTTATGGTTATTATGGGTAAAAACAACAACCTCTATCCTGATTTTTACAGAGATTTGTACAAGAAAAAGAGGTGGCTATGTGAACATATGCAGACTATGTACTACGTATGCAACTTTTTTCTTACCTGACTCTTTACCCACACCTATCTGGTTTCCAACTGAGATGAGAACTTCTCTGGCGCACAAGGTCTTCAGAGCCAAGTAGTCATATCCTCCATTGTTCAGCCTGTAACCCTGCACAGCTGAAATCCACACAAACATGCCACATTACAAATATGACCTAAATGTACTATGTCCACCAAGACTAGTGAGGTTCAGCGAGCATTCCTGTGTATTTTCTCACCTTTGGAGCGTTCATAGGCCACGAGTTTGTGTTTGACAAGCTCTCTGAGGACCTTGTTGCAGCCGCCGTGTTTAAGGCTAGCTATGGAGGACAGGAGACTCACTGGAACAATCTCATGGTTCTTCATCCCCATCTCAACCTGTGTGCAGGAACGTTCACAGGAAGAACCAGAAGTAGATCAGAGCGCTTTAAATCCAAGCCTGCTAGCAGAAATAGTGCTGCAGAGCTGAATTGAGA